TGTATCTTTTTGTAGTAATTTTGAATTCATTTTATTTCCTCTAAGCCTGTTAAAGTAGCAGAGTCTGTATTACTTTCCTTGTTTTCTCCCAAGAGCCTAACAAAATGTCCAGGTGCTCAGAGAATATTGGAAAAAAAAAAAAAAAACAATTGATTACTGAGGAATCCTTAGGATGTAGCTTAAATGGGGAAGCAGCAATTAATATGTTTTTCCAAACTAGGAATAAAGGTGGAAGCAGAAACACAATATCAAGAGGTGCTGGGAGGAACTGGGGGTGGGAGGCAGATCCAAGGCAGAGTTTGGGTGTCTGCAGAATGGCAGAAAAGGGCAAACAGCAAGGTCTTGGGACTACCAAAGGGTGACATCTATGATTGGGTCCAGTGGTTGATATGGGGCTGAAACTTAAAGCAACACTCTGATAAGAGCTTGATAATGTATAAGTCATGACAAGCAAATGTAAGGACTAAAATTATTTATAGAATTACCTGGGTTGAGTGCAGTTTGTGTTCCTCATCTCCATCCACCACAGTAGTTGAAAGTCTTAGGTAATATAAATTTAGCACTTACATTCCAAGCAAGATGATAGGTAATTTTCATCCATTCTTTCTGATCCTTAAAAGTAACCTTTCAAGATAGGTATTATTACTGTGATCCACATTTTACAAGTAAGGAATATGAAGCTCAATGAGCTCTTTTTTTTCCCTGAGACAGAGTCCCGCTCTGTTGCCCTGGCTAGAGTGTCGTGGTGTCAGCCTAGCTCACAGGAACCTCAAACTCCTGGGCTCAAGCTATTCTCCTAACTCAGCCTCCCAAGTAGCTGGGACTACAGGCATGTGCCACCATGCCTGGCTAATTTTTTCTATATAGCTTTAGTTGTCCAGCTAATTTCTTTCTATTTTTAGTAGAGATGGAGTCTTGCTCTTGCTCAGGCTGGTCTTGAACTCCTGAGCTCAAGCAATCCACCTGCCTTGGCCTCCCAGAGTGCTAGGATTATAGGCGTGAGCCACCACACCCGGCCTCCCAGTATCTTTTTATATATGACTATTTCTCTAAAAAACAAAGATATGATGAAGAAGTATCTAGGAAACCTATATTTCCTTTATAAAGGAGACAGTTATAGAAGGTCCAGGCCAGGAAACCTGGGCTTTCCCCTGGTCCTGCAGCCTCCTTCCTCTGTTATCTGTAAGCCTAACCACACGCAGGCCCACAGTGCTTTCTTGGAGACCTGTGTGATGAGCTGGGAGCTGACACAAAGGGCAAATCTCCTAGAGGGAGAGGGATGAATGACCGTCCCCCAGATAAAACTCAGTAAGTGGCCAGGCACGCGGTGGCCCACGCTTGTAATCCTAGCACTCTGGGAGGCCAAGGCAGGTGGATCGTTTCAGCTCAGGAGTTGGAGACCAGCCTGAGCAAGAGCGAGACCCCATCTCTACTCAAAAAATAGAAAGAAATTAGCTTAAAATATGTAGAAAAAATGAGCTGGGCATGGCGGCACATGTCTGTACTCCCAGCTACTTGGGAGGCTGAGGCAGGAGGATTGCTTGAGCCCAGGAGTTTGAGGTTGCTGTGAGCTAGGCTGATGCCATGTCACTCTAGCCCGGGCAACAGAGTGAGTCTCTGTCTCAAAAAAAAAAAAAAAAAAAAAAAAAAAAAAGAAAGAAAGAAAAGAAAAGACCCCAGTAAGTGGCATTGATTGCTGCTGATAAGAACAAAAAAAAGAAAGCATAGATAAGTAGAAGTATTTAATTAGCGTCACAATTGTAATTTACAGATATTTAGTAACAATTTTTTATATGATTTAATGAAATTTGCAAGTCTTTTTTTGCTCTAAGATTATTATGGAGGGGTTACCACTTATCAGTTGTTAATAATTTAGAGTGAATTATTTTGTTAAATTCCTCCCAGACAGTAACTGAGGAACTTTATTTTATTTAAGAGGAGGAAAGGGCAGGGTGTGGTGGCTCATGCCTATAATGCTAGCACTCTGGGAGGCTGAGGTGGGAGGATCACTGGAGCTCAGGAGTTTGAGGTTGTTGTGAGCTACAATGATGCCACTGCACTCTACCCAGGCAACACAGTGAGACTTTGTCTCAGAAAAAAAAACAAAAAAACAAAAAACAGAAAAACCAAAAACCCCTCTTCCAAGAAAAAAAAAAAAGAGAGAAAAAAGAGGAGGGAAGGTAGAGAGATGGAGGTCACAGCCTGGCCTGGGGGGCAGGAGGACGTGCTACTGCAGTGTGTAGAATCTGTAGATGGGAGGCTACCTAAGGAGTCAAAATTGGTAACTAAAAGAAGACTTAGGAACCTGTTGAGGACAACATTACCTCACATGCTTTCTGTTGAGGGACCCCCTGCATAGGGGCGGGCGACCAGCCTCATCCTCTCTCTGCTTGGATTGGAGCAAATGGCTCAAACGTGGGAGGATGGGTGTGGTAGGCAGAACAATGTCCCCCGAGAGGTCCAGACCCTAATCCTTGAAACCTGTGACTATGTTAAGTTACATAGTAGAAGAAACTTCAGAGGGCACTGAGATTATGAACATGAAAATAGGAAGATTCATCTGGGTTATCCAGCTGGGCCTAATGTAAGCACAAGAGCCTTTAAAAGTGGGAGAGCGAGGCAGAAGGATGGAGCCAGGCAGGTGAGACGGAAGAAGAGGCAGGAGGGACTCCAGGTGTGAGAAGGACTCAAACCCTGGCTTTGAAGATGGAGGAAGAAGGTCACATGGCCACCTCGAGACCCTGGGAACATCCAATGACAGCCAGCCGGGAAATAGGGACCTCGGTCCTGCAACCACAAGAAGGGGAATTCCGCAGACAACCCAAATGAACAGGGAACTGGATCTTCCTCCAGAGCCTCCAGAAAGGAAAGCAGTCCTTGATTTTAGCCTCTTGACACCATTATCAGACTTCTGACCTACAGAACTGGAAGGTAATACATTTGCTTTAAGTTGCTAAATTTGTGGTACTTAGTAACTGCAGCAATAGAAAAGTAATACAAAAGGTAGACCACTACTCAACTCCTTATATCAGTGGCCTTTCATTTTTTGAGGGTCACAGACCCCTTGGAGAATCTGATGAAAGCTGTAGATCTTCTATCTAGAAGAATTCACATATGTACAAAACTTTGAGTACAATTTCGAGAGGTTCATGAACCCATTAAAGCATGCTCTGTCTTTTTACAGACGGTAAAAAGACAAAAAGTAATATTTAGAGGAGACAAGCAGTGTAAAATGAGGCTTCCTTGTGATAGCATTGTTATCTCCCACCAAAAACAGTCTGTACCCAGGAGAACACTTAGCTGGGTTGCAGTGAACTGATTCAATTTGAACGAAACAAATTTCCTAGACACTGAAGCTGAAAGGCAACTGTCTCAGCCTGATCTTTTACTGATGGGCTTCTTGGAATGAGGCCACACCACTGAGTATAGCAGTCACTCTGCCTACTGATCTCTAGTGATTCGAAGATCACTGTGAAAAATTAGAATGTAAAACTTACTAAGGGGAGGGTATTCATTTTATTCTGCATAGAGTATACACAGGAAAAAAAACATAGACATTATTCCTTAGCAAATTAATTTACTAAAATTTTGTGACAAGAACTGTTTGGGGAATTATTGATGTTACATAGACTTGCTATTTGTTTAGAGCCATAAACAATAGAAATATAATGTGAGCCACATAGGTAATTCTTGTAGCCACACTAAAAAATGTAAGGAGAAGCAAGTAAAATTAGTTTTAATACTATATTTTATTTAATATATCTAAAATAGCATCATTTAAATATGTCATGAGTATTAAAATATCAATAAGATATATTTCATTCTGGTTTTTTTATTTTGAGACAGAGTCTCCCTAGTCACTTGGGCTAGAGTGCAGTGGCATCATCATAGCTCACTGCAACCTCAAATTCCTGTGCTCCAGTGATCCTCTTGCCTCAGCCTCCAGAGTAGCTGGAACTACAGGCGCATGCCACTACACCTGGCTAATTTTTCTATTTTTTGTAAAGACAGAGGTCTTGCTTTTGCTCAGCCTGGTCTTAAACTTCTGGTCTCAAGCGATCTTCCTGTCTTGGCCTTCCAAAGTGCTAGGGTTACAGGTGTGAGCCACCGTGCCCAGCTCTGTTCTTTTTTCTTCAAACTAAATCTTTGTTATCTAGTGTGTAGTTTACACTCACAGCACATCTCAATCCTGATTAGCCACATTTCAAGTGCGTAGTCATCACATGTGGCTAGCAGTGGCCATATTAGTGCAGATTTAAAGAGCAATGAAGCATTGATATGAAAATTTTGAGGCATAAATTTTATTTAATAAAATTATATCATATGTGTGTATTATATGTACACAATACACACACATATACACGGTATACGAAAATAGCCTCAGAGGCCAACGTACTTATGGCGGAGGAATGAGTGTCCCCGGCTGCTCCCCGTGATCAGGCACAGTGACGCCCTTGGCAATAATGTGTGAAGGAAGAAAAAAATAAAATTTAAAGATTATCTTTTAGCAGATTTTAATTTAAGCAGGTTGGCCTAAAGAGATTTATTTGACCTCTGTACATATTAGGCCTTTAATATGCTTCTGTTTATTTTTGCCGTTGAAAATAGAGTATTAGTTTTGCAAAAGGCCTTACAAATCATTTATTTTTTCAGGTGAGGAAGCAGATTAGATGATGGAAAGAAAAGAAAGCATAGTCACCTTTTGCCCTTTCTTTTTTTTTTAAATTAAACTCCATACTTTATTCACATTTATTAGTTTTCCCATAATTTGCCCTTCCTTACATGGGGTTTTCACGTAGGACGCTAAAGCTCCTTCTCTCCTGCCCTGGCCTCTACCACTACCAGTTACTACTCACTGAACTACTATTGTGCCAGATACTGAAACCATCATGATTCATCCTGCAGCACCTCCGCAAGGTAGGTCTTATTATCCTCATTGAACACAGGAAGACACTGAGACTTAAAGGGGCTAGATGACGTGTCCAAGGTCATAAAGCTCGTTAACGCAGAGCCCAAAGTCAGATTTATTTTTTAATGCAAAGCCCGTGCTTTTTCCATTGTGTCATGCAGCCTCCATCAGGCCGGGGTTGGAGAGGACCCAGATGGGCTTGTTGAAGTACTAGTGGGTGACTGGGGTGGTGGCCGAGGCAAGGAGGGGGAAGGGGTAAGAGAGGAGGAGCACGGGGAAGAATGTAGAGGCGTGGCAATGCGGGCAGAGCTGGCCAGATGCAGTTCTGGGGTTGGTGGGGCAGCTTCCTCCAGCCTCCACAGGACGATGGCGCGGGGGCCCTTCCTTGACAGCCAGCCGGGTAGGTGGGTTTCTAGGAGGCGGAAGAGGAAGACATGGTGAGTTGCTTGACTCCCGTAAAGAAGAGCCATGCCTGGTGGCTCATCCTACAATATCACCCATTGCCAGATGGGCCTCTTCCTGCGTGGGATTCGGAGGAGGGTGAGAACAACGTGGGGGTTCAGGCATGTGTCCACTCTGTTCACTCAACAGTCTTGAGGTTTTGGGATTTGCAGTGTGCATTCAGTCAGATCCAAGAAACGTCTGCTGTCTGCTGGCTTGTCCTTGATGTATCTCTTGATGATGTTTAGTTTCACATGCCCTAGGTTTAGCTTTTCCTTGTTTCTTGGTGCCAGAGTTTCCAAAAGTGAAAAATTTTTTCTTACATGATGAAAATAATTACTAAAACAAAGACATTTTGCAGGAAACACAACACAGCACCAATCTCTGAGACAGTGACAGGAACCAGGGGTGCGTGGGTATAGGTTTGAGTGGTTATCCTTGGGGCACAGTATTCCCTTGGCAGCCTGCTGGGGTGGCAGTCAGACTGACTGCATGGTGGGGGGCTGGTGCTTGCCTCCTCCAGGCTTCTCCACCACGTCGTTGCAGAGCATAGCTGCGAAAGGAAAAAGGAAAATCCACACAGAAAATCCATGTGATTCCAAATCCACATAATGTAAACTCATGGGTGCAAGCTACTTACGGTTCCACGGACTTTCACCTAAAATTCTTTTGGGAAAAGCATCAGTGTTATGATACAGATAGACATGATGGTTATGGTTATACTCTCTTTTTTTGTATTTTTTGAAAATGAGTATTATCAGTAGTTTAAAAAACACTATGAACTCTATTCCTAGGCTATGGAAAAACAGGCATTTTCATCCACTGTTGGTATGAATGTGGAATGATATTTAATATAATCCCTGTAGAGGGGAAATTTGGCAATATTTAAGAAAACTACATATGAATTTACCTTTTGACCCAACAATCTCATGTCTAGGAATTTATCCTGAAGAAACATGTTCAGCACATAAAACTACGTATGCATAATATTATATATTGCAGTATTATTTGTAATTGCAAAATTTGAATAACTTAAATGTGTATACATAGGGTATGGAGTGAATAAATTATATTACATTATATACACAGAAAAGAGTATTAGACAGCTTTTTTTGAGTGATTTTCAAGCTTTACTGCTCAATGAAAAAAGCGAAGAACAAAAAAGAATATATGGTATGCCACTATTATAGATAAGAAATAAGGGGAAATAATGCACAAGTATCTGCTTACTTTTCATGAAAAGGTACATTGGAAAGACAAACCAGATGGGAAAATCGTTTTACTTACAGGGGGATGGTGAGACAGAATGGAAGGCATATGGAGAGAGAAGGATACTCTTCTGGGTACACATTTGTATGTGGTTTTGACTTTTGGAATCATGCTAATTTTTTATGTATTTATAAAATGAAATTGATCAACAAGTTTGGGGAAGAAGTCCTAAAATTGAATACAAACAGAAACAAAGAAACTGGACTGTACATAAAACAGAGACTCACACAGAAGAAAAAAATAACTTATTCAAGTATCATTTGGACATAGTAGCTTGACTGTATATCCAGAGTTTAAAAACAAAAGAACTGTAAAGAAGTCTTGAACTCCACTTAACAGGTTTTTTGTTGGTAGTGGCACAGATGTAGCAATTCTGAAACTATTTTGTATGTATTTTAGTATTGAGCAAATAACTATATTAATAGTGTTGGGGGCTGGGCGCGGTGGTTCCAACCTGTAATCCTAGCACTCTGGGAGGCTGAGACGGGAGGATTGCTCAAGGTCAGGAATTCACAACTAGCCTGAGCAAGAGCGAGACCCTGTCTCTACAAAAAATAGAAAGAAAATAATTGGCCAACTAAAAATATAGGAAAAATTAGCCGGGCATGGTGGCGCATGCCTGTAGTCCCAGCTACTCGTGAGGCTGAGGCAGAAAGACTGCTTGAGCCTAGGAGTTTGAGGTTGCTGTGAGCTAGGCTGATACCACTGCTCTCTAGCCAGGGAAACAGCGAGACTCTGTCTCAAAAAAAAAAAAAAAAAAAAAAAATAGGGTTGGGAACCAGAGTTCTCACTTAAAGAAGGGAGATGTAAATATATAATGGGGCAAGGTGAGGAAGAACCCTATGGTGCTGGACTGATACAAACTCATGCTTTTTTCTTTTCTCTTTTTAAAACAAAATAAAACAATTCCCTGGATATGTTTGCTGAAAGAGTAAGTAGCAATGAAGAGATCTGGTTTCCAAATCTTGGTTTTTAAAAATCATTCCCTACCAAAAGGAACCAGGGCTTCTTGGAGAATTGGCTGTTTTCATGGCTAGGGCAGGGAAAATGCAACATGGGCCTGGAACACTTGCTGCACCAGAAAGGGAAGAAGCACTAAAAAAGTATGCAGATATGTCAAAAGGACATAGGAGCCAGCTGATGGGCTTTCCCTAGCCAAACCTGGGATAATTTGAGCATCACAATAAGTAGGGACATTAATGGATTATATCCCATTGAATATAAAGAATCCATGAATTCATACTGACACTAAAAAGCCACCAAGCAAGCAAATGGTGGGAGGGGGAGGGAAGGAAGTTTCTTTACAGTACAATACCAACTAATTAATGTAGAAGAAGAGTTAGGAAATCACCATTTATGCAATTACCATAGTAGTAATTTATTCAAGCAAGAATCGTCAGTGGATGCTAAAAGTTTGTTGTAGAAAATTTATTTGGAGCCAGACAAGCTGGCAGGCACCTGTAAGCCTACTTGAGAGGCTGAGGCAGGAGAATTGCTTGAGCCCAGGAACGCAAGGCTCCAGTGAGCTATGATTGCACCAACTGGACTCTGGCCTGCAAGAGAGCAAGACCCTGTTGCTAAAACATACTACAGAAATTTCTACAGAGTTTTTAGGCCAGATTCCACATTTTGTTGACAAATGAACTTTCTTTAGTTTCTTACAGGGGTGGCTAGAAAGGCAAAATGCAGTATAATGCATCTATTATGCTTTTTAGGCTAACGGTGACAAGGTCCATATCTTTTTCTGAGGAGGAGGGTTATGTTCCAAGGTACTTACCTTTCTAAATTGCTCTAGTCAGACTCACTTGGTGACAAGAAATTGAGAGCCACTCAAGTTAGTTAAAAGTAAAGGTGATTGTTGTGCAACATAGGGGACAAATTTTTCTGGTGTTCTGCAAATAGGAGACATACTGGGATTGTGGCCTTAAAGAGACTAGCGCTGGAGAGTGGCTCTGGATTTAGGCAGAAACATATGGGCCTCAGCGTCATGCTTTGGCATTAGTGTGACTGAGTGACACTGTGCACATTTGTGTCCAACTGGTCAGCCTAGGGATTGGCTACTCTTGAGTCAGGTATATGATTTTATCAGTTGTCATGCTCTTGGCTAAAAGTAATAGAAAACCCAATTTAAAGTGTCTAGGCTGGTGGAGGGGGGGGAGCAAGGGCAACATACGTAACCTTAACATTTGTACCCTCATAATATGCTGAATAAAGTAAATAAAAAAACCAAAAACACAAAGTGTCTAGGCCGGGTGTGGTGGCTCAAGCCTGTAATCCTAGCACTCTGGGAGGCCAAAGCAAGGAGGATCACTCAAGGTCAGGAGTTTGAAACCAGCCTGAGCAAGAGCAAGACCCCATCTCTATTAATAATAGAAAGAATTTGGCCAACTAAAAATATATAGAAAAAATTAGCTGGGCATGGTGGTGCATGCCTGTAGTTCCAGCTACTTAGGAGGCTGAGGCAGGAGGATCGCTTGAGTCCAGGAGTTTGAGGTTGCTGTGAGTGAGGCTGACGCCACAGCATTCTAGCCTGGGCAACAGAGTGAGAGTCCATCACAAAAAGAAAAGAAAAAAAGTGTCTGAACATTTATTATCATATATAACAACAATCTGGAGATAGGGCAAATCCTCACTAACCTCATTAAGGACCCAGGTTCCTCCCATCTTTCTGCTCTGCCATTCTCAGCAGGTTGGCTTTTCCTCTGGGGCTGGCTTCTGTCATGATTCCATGTTGGCTGCTATAGCTTCAGGCATCACAGGGGTCGACAACATTGGGAGACAGAAAATGAAGTGTCCCTATCATGTGTTACATTTTGAGAACAAGGAAAAACTTTCCCAGGCCTCCAACAGATTTCCCGTGACATTGCATTGGCAGAGTTAGCAAGGGAAGTAGCAATTACTGTGGTTGACTTAGACTAATCAAGATTCATCCTCTTAGGCTGAGGAGGTGCTCAGCCTATCATAATGCATTTGGCCAAGGTAACTAAACAAAGACATTTTCTATTAGGGTGGAAAAAGGGAGAAGGGGGAATTGTATTTGATGTGCTATACATCCTGGTCCAATCAGTGATGGTGATGATAAGTGTTTATATGATCTAGTAAATTGTCCTTTAGGGAAAGAAAATCTATTCACAAAACAAATTCCCTTAGAAGAAGATGTGGGCTGGCAGACAATTATTGGCATCTCAAACATGCTGATATTTACCACATCATAAAACTAGTGATGAAGGTAATTATCTGATGGGTATATTATTTTTTTATTTCAAAATAAATAATAACTTCTTGTTAAATTATACAAATATACAATCCCTGTCAAAAATTTAAACTATAAATAAAGAAAATAATTGCAGGTGTAAATAGAAATGAGAAGTATATTTATATCATATTATGTTATGATCTTCAGGTCTACTATTAAGTTAAAAAACAAGGAGGCTGGCCGGGCGCGGTGGCCCACGCCTATAATCCTAGCACTCTGGGAGGCCGAGGTGGGTGGGTTGTTTGAGGTCAGGAGTTCGAAACCAGCCTGAGCAAGAGCGAGACCTCGTCTCTACTATAAAAGTAGAAAGAAATTAATTGGCCAACTAATATATATAGAAAAAATTAGCCGGGTAATGTGGTACATGCTTGTAGTCCCAGCTACTCGGGAGGCTGAGGCAGAAGGATTGCTTAAGCCCAGGAGTTTGAGGTTGCTGTGAGCTAGGCTGATGCCACGGCACTCACTCTAGCCTGGGCAACAAAGCAAGACTCTGTCTCAAAAAAAAAAAAAAAAAAAAATCTGTCTCCAGTCTTTCCAGACTTACTCTCTAGTGCTCACTTGCATATATCTCATATTCCCAGGAACTGCGTGTGTGTGTGCTGTATCCAAAACATACCCTATGCATTTCCAACCTTTTTGATTTCATTTAGTGTTGTTCTGTTTACCTGGATCATCTTTCCTCAATCTCTGCCTGAAAAACTTTTTTCATCCTTTAAAATATCTGAATGCTATCTCTTCTATAAAGTAGGGTATCTAGTTAAGAAAATGGTTTGCATGGGACAGACTTGGTTTGAAATCCTGGCTCTAACCTTTACCAGCCATGTGACCTTGGCTAATTTATCTAATCTATGTAAACCTCAGTTTCTTCATCTGTAAATGGAAAATAGTATCTCCTTTTACTCATGGTTGTTTTGAGAATGAAAATGAGTTAATGCTTAGAGAGCTTAGCACAATGCAGGCAAATTATATGCAAAAAATGGTAGCCATAATTACTACTTCATTAGCTGAAAGTATTTCTAGTACTGTGAAATCTCATCTCACTTTTTTGGTCTCAAATACTGTTTTTTTTTTGACAGAGTCTTGCTCTCTTGCCCAGGCTAGAGTGCCATGGCATCAGCTTAGCTCACAGCAACCTCAAACTCCTGGGCTCAAATGATCCTCCTGCCTCAGCCTCCCGAGTAGCTGAGACTACAGGCATGCACCACCATGCCCGGATAATTTTTTCTATATATTTTTAGTTGTCCAGATAATTTCTATTTTTAGTAGAGATAGGGTCTTGCTCTTGTTCAAGCTGGTCTCGAACTCCTCACCTTGAGCGATCCTCCCCCGCTTTGGCCTCCCAGAGAGCTAGGATTACAGGTGTGAGCCACGGTGCCTGGCCTCAAATACTGTTTTTTTTTTTGAGACAGAGTCTGAGTCTTGCTTTGTTGCCCAGGCTACAGTGAGTACCCTGGCGTCAGCCTAGCTCACAGCAACCTCAAACTCCTGGGCTAAGCAACCTTCTGCCTCAGCCTCCGAGTAGCTGGGACTACAGGCATAGTGCCACATGCCTGGCTAATTTTTTCTATATATATTAGTTGGCCAATTAATTTCTTGCTGTTTATAGTAGAGGCGGGGTCTTGCTCTTGCTCAGGCTGGTTTCGAACTTCTGACCTCAAGCAGTCCTCCCGCCTCAGCCTACCAGAGTGCTAGGATTACAGGCGTGAGCCACTGCGCCCGGCCTCAAATACTTTTTTTGATTTATAGTTACTTCACATTAATTATTCTAGTGTTCATGATACTAATTATTCATCTTACTAGCTATTATAAATATATTTAGCTATATTATAAATATGCTATTACGTATTATTGTTACATAATAGATGAGGGTAGGGACTTTGTGTTATATATTTATATATTTCTTACAGCATTAATAAGAACTTATAAGCTGAGTTAAAATGAATAAGTCTAAACTTTCAGAGATGTTCCTAAATTCTACAAAAATAGAAAACACAATAGTAACAGTGAATATCACATTATTCCCTTATGAGAACCATGAGAGAAATTTTTTGCAGGCTTTTATACAAAAACTATGCTTTTTTAAGCAACTTAAAAAAAAATCTTTTTTTTCTTTTTTTTTTTTGAGACCGAGTCTTGCTTTGTCACCTGGTCTAGAGTGCCTACTCAACAACAACCTCTTAACTCCCGGGCTCAAGCGATCCTCTGCTTCAGCCTTCAGTCCTGGGAATAGCTGGGAACTACAGGCATACGCCACCATGCCGGCTAATTTTTTTATATTTTTCCATATACTTTTATTTCTATATTTTTCTAATATATTTTTAGTTGTCCAGCTAATTTCTTTCTATTTTTAGTAGAGATGGGGTCTTGCTTTGCTCAGGCTGGTTTCGACACTCTTGGCTCCAAGCAATCCTCCTGCCTTGGCCATCCCAGAGTGCTAGGATTACAGTGTGGAGCCACCTCACCCAGCCAAAAAATATCTTATGGACCATGTGAAACTTATAACTGTATTTTTCATTTGCTTTAGTTGTTAGAGACTCAGAGCCCAATTTATGGTAGCCTCCAGCAATTACACAGGACATTTGGGCATAAATTTTTTTAGGGTATTAACATGCCTCGGCTTTATTTTGTTTTCCATTACCTTTGCTTGATTTTCTTCAACATTTTATCCTATTATAGTGTGCATCTTTTCAAAACATATTCAATCTTTCTATGAGGGTAGGAGACATCAATAAAAACACATATCTATAAAAAAAATTTTAAAAAATAGCTTCAAACTTGTTAAAGCTTCTAATTAACACCCACATCCTCTTTCCAGTTCCACTTCCATATAAACTAATTTTGTACCTGATCTACGAATCCCATCTCCTCCTATTTATTAGCGATCAGCTCCAGTTTATCCCTTTTTTTGGCAGTATCTTTAATCTCTCTCTATCACTGCTTTTTTTTTTTTTCATGTACTAAATAAACACATTCTCGTCTCCCTTACACAACAAGGTACCCCAATTCTTTTTCACTTGCCATTCTCCTTCTGGCTACCCTGACCCTCCTCTTTTTTTCTTTACAGCCAAACTTCTTGAAAGAATTGTCCCACGTGCCACATCCACACTTCATCTCTGTCCTTTTC